CAGAGCCACCAGCGTAAATAGCTCCACAAGGTGTTAGACAGACTGGACCCACAAAGCAAAGTGCAAGAGCACAACAGAGATTTTTAAGAACTTCACATTTCCAGTTTCTCACAGTAATTACCGGTTGCAGCGGAGTTCACTCCCAACTTAAAACAGTGCAAATGCACACGAAAGGGGAACTCAAACACCTCTTCATTAAGTCAAAACTTTAGATTAATTTATCTGCAAAAATTTTTTCAAAGAAGCCTCAAGCAGTATCTCCACCCAGCTCTCTGCAGTTTCAAAAGGTAGTATGCATTTGCATTCCAATATAACCGTATATGCAACATTACATTTTATGTATATGTTCCAGCTCAGCATCTCTCAAACCTCTTGATAGCAATCTTACTAACCACTCCATAGAGTTAAATATGTAAAAGAATAATACTGCAGACACCTTTACTCATTTTGTGCATACTGCAATACAGTTTGCAAGGCAATACTGGGCATCATCAGCCATTAAAAATGTCATGATTTTAGAACAGTTAATGAGGGCTTCCAAATAAATTAAAATGTCTCCATCTGCTGTCTTGCATTGTAGGTGATATTTTTCCATGGCAGAATAATCTTCCAATCTAATCCCACCAGGAAAGAGTCTGATCATAGTTTAATTTCAGTACAAAATGCTGCCTGGCAATCAATAAAGCAATGTCAAAGAACTTTGATTTAACAGGACCCAGTGATAACGTTCCTTATAATACGCAGAATAGAGAGAGAGGGAGAGGAAGATTTCATTTCACTATTATAGGCAACATGCAACGTCAAGTGAGGAAAAAAGAAACAACTAATAAGTGAGCATCCCTTTATTGTATAATAATATCCTACTGTCAATTTTAAATCATTAATACATTGGGGAAGTTGAAGGTCTTGTGAACAATAGTCATCTGAATTCCCAGGCTTGATTAATCTGATGTCAGTGGCAGTATTCTCATTAGCTTCAGTGTGAGCTATCTCGATCCTAGGAAGTTGCATGCCACTTATTAACAAACAAAAGTGACAAAAATCACCAGTTTTTGTCCTCTGGGCAGTTATCTACTGCATGGTCCCTTTCTTTTTTAATTTCAGTCACCATTCCTTCAGAAATCTCATCATTGTGACCCATCCCATGTGCACTTTTTTCCTCTGTCTTCCCTCCCCCAATCGACACACAGACACAACAATACCCTCATCAGTGTTTTGAATTTGAAAATAACTGTAAGCTGCAAATACAATTGATTGTTGAGAAATAACTTAGTTACTGCACTGATAATCAATATGTGCTTTTCTTAAATGTATTAGGAATCTGATCTTCTAACAGTGCTCTTTGTCTAAGCTCAGGAATAGTGTCCTCTTTGACTATAAAGAATAAGAAGGTCTGTAAGGCTAGGGAAAAAAGTTGCACATGAGCCAGGTTAAGTGATCAGAAGCTGGTTTAAAGCTGTAACAGAACAGAAGCTCAGTGCACATAAACGAGTTTCAAAATGGGCAAAATTAGTTTAAGATAAACCTGGTTGAATGTAGTATCAGATTTAACTGATTTGGGTCAATCTGGTTTATGGAACTTCTGTTCCAGACCCTTTACTGGTTCAAATTCAATCACAGTCCCCCAGCATCCCAGTATGCTTTGCAGCCCTGGGCGGGGTAGGGCTGGGCTGCCTACTGGAACAGAACAGGGTTGGCCCTGCCCCTGTGCTCTCTATCTGGAGTAGTGAGGGCTGGCAGACAAAGGGATGGGTGTGCTGGGGACGCAGCCCGGTCTGCCTGGTGGAGGTGAAGCAGCCCCTGCCAAACTTTTCTCCACTGGAGGGGAGCGGCTGAGGGCATGAGACAGCAGGCTCAGGAAGAGGTAGATTAAACTCACCTGCCTCCCCACTCCCACTAGCAGGCACCCCAGGTGAGGTCTTCCCAGCTTTTTACCCCTGCTCATGGCTCAACATGACCCAGGACCCCCAGAGTCCGACTTTCAGCCGAGGCGGGTGATCCTGCTGTGCCTTCCAAGCCACAAGGGTTGGGGTTTTGCTTGGGGCTGGATCGGGGGGAGGGATCCATGCACAAAGGAATTGCAGCAGCAGTGGCTGCATCCTGTACATGAGCCCCACCAAAAAGAGGGACCTAGGCTGGCGGGGGGCTTGAGTGCATCTCTGCTAGCCCAGGGCAGAGCCGAGCCAAGCATGCAGCTGGGGGAGCAGCTCCTGCCTGGCAGTCCCTTCTACATACTGGAGAGTGGCACCCGGGCTGGCCCCAGCCCCTGCAACAGTGCCCTTAGTTCCCAGTGCTATTGCCTGCATCCACCAGGCCACCAGGTGCTGAGCTGGGTGTGTACTGCTAACACTTCCCTTACCCGGCATTGGTGGCACAGCATGGCCCCATGTACCAGGCTACAGGCACAGGGCACTAGCCCTAAGGCTTCCCTACTGCTGCTGCCATCAGGGGGGCCCGCCCTAGCCATACTGGTAGGTGCTGCCTGTGCCGCTGAACTGCAGTCAGCCACTGGGTGGGCAGACAGTGGCAGCGGGGAAGCTGTAGGGGTAGTGCCCTGCACCTGTGCAGTAGCGCTGGCTCATGCCTTTTTAGTGATGCTAATGCACAGTAGACTTATTCTACTGTACATTAGCAGTGATATTGCTGTAACACACTAATGCAGCTCATGTAGGCTCACCTACTGAGGTTGAAGTCCCTAGCCTTAATAAGACAGAGCATGGATTTGAACATAATCTCTCACATTCTAGGAGAGTACCCAACCCCCCAAGTTGCTGGCTATTCTTAGGTAGGCCCCTCTCAATTTTGACCAGCAATTCCTTTCTGAAGTTGAGGAGCTGATGAAAATGCTGTTGAAATTGTCTTGTTCCTGGAAGAAGTTTCCATTTCATTGACTTGACTTCTTCCTGAAAACAAATTTTACTCTACTTTCTGGTCAGCTCTAACATAAACTAATTTTCTACCCTGATGGATGATGTCCTGAGAGTAACTGATGTAAACCAGGGTATTGAACAACTGCCCGACGGAACAGCATTTCATTTAGAATTTCATTTTGATTTCAAACCACTGTTCCATTTTGTTTCATTGAAACGGTGACACTGTTTCAAAGCTGTTTTGGTGTTTTGCCCTTACACTATAATGGGGAAACTCGAAACAGCCTCTCTCATCCGGCAGGCAGAAGGGGGTCCACACCCCTGAGAGGGCTGTGGTGGGTGTGCCAGTCCTCTGGGGGCTGCAGGCCCCTGATCTGCCTGCGAGATGAGGGAGGGAAGCTGGGTGCTGCCGCCTGGGACTGGGGAGCTGGGGAGGGGGACTGAGCCCGATGGCTCAGTCCCCCTCCCCAGCACTGCAATTTGAGCTGGGGAAGGCAACTCAGCCCAGCTGAGCTGAGTTCCCATCCCCAGCACTAGGACTGGGCTGGGTTCCTCTCCCCAGTGCTATGATCAGGCTATGGAAAGGAACTCAGCCCAGCTAGGCTGAGCTCCCTTCCCGAGCACTAGGATCAGGCTGGGGAAAGGAACTCACGATTATAGCGCTGGGGAGGGGAACTCAGCTCAGCTGGGTTGAGTTGCCTTCCCCAGCCCAATTGTAGGGCTGGGGAAGGGAAGTGAGCGATTGGGCTCAATTCCCTTCCCCAGCCTGATTGCAGCACTGGGCATTCCCCTGTGCTGTGATTGGCTTCCAGCAGCCTGGGTGCAGGAGGTGGGGAGAGCCAGAGCTGCGCTCCTGGCTGAGCCACATGGGGCTGCAGAGCCACTGGGAGCGCAGCCCTGGTTCTCCCATGTCTCCCACCACCTGGCTGCTGGCTGCTTCGAAACTTGAAACATTTTGAAACTTTTGAAATGTTTCAAATGGCCTCGTTATGTTTCGAGGCTGTTTCAAAGCTCTTTATTTCAATTTGATTTCACTGTTTCGAGCTCAAAATGAATCGAAACAGTGCTGAATCGAAACAGCCAGCAAAATTTCACACAGCCCTACTGATCAGTTGTTGCAAACTTTGGCTCTTCCTGATTTATACTTAAGGGGTCAATATTAGTACAGCTGCTGGTCACTTTGAATAGTTGAGCTAAAATGACCTATACATCTGTACTTTTAGCTTGATACACAGAACATTTTATGGTCGAAAGGTTTGTGTGATTTTGGGGGCAAGAAGTTGCTTGTATCTTTACGTACCTTCTGTAACTGGGTTTAAAACAATTTTTTTTATTTAAGAAGGATGTTAAACAAGATATGGGTATTAAATCTGTATTAAAATTAACGTAAGTGTTAAAAATGTTCACAATTCTTCAATTTCAAAGTTACCCACAAATTTTCCAAATAAAAGTGGGCTATTTTCAACTAAAAACAATTCATTTTCAAACCAAAAATGTTTTTTGAGCAAAATGAAGCCTTTTAAAAAAAAACAAAACAGAGGGATTCATAAATATAATGTGAATAGGTGGCATTTCAGTAGGAAAATTTCCATATTCATGAGCTTTCGGGGGGAAATATTTTTTTAAGTTTTGCTATTACCCTAAATAAAATTCCCCAGATAGTATTTGTAGTCTGATCCTGTTCCGATTGCGTAGGTAAAAGGTTTGCCAATACTGGCAAAAGTTTCATCCTTCATGAATCCAACAAGCAGCTGCGGGTCAAAACTGATATAGTTAATAGAGACATGCTACTTTTCATTTTCTAAATTTTAAGAATTTAGTACTAAGAGTGCTTTTATACAAAGTAACTAGATGATAATTCAATAAAGATAATGTAGTATGTTTCATCATAAGGTATTGGAAGAAACATTTATTCAAAACATTAAAGCAAATCTTATTTTGGTTAAAGAATTTAAAAATACCAGGCCTAAAGAGAGCACTTTCCAAACACAATTACTCATTTTGACACCAGGTGTTTTCAATTCAATAGGTATATCAAATACTAGGTAAAATGTATGTCTCGATGAAAATAAAATTATAGCTTAAATGGAATGTTTTGATAGATGTATCTTATTGTGCTTTTTTTAACAGCTACTCCAGCACCATCATGCAGTTCATGAAATTTCATATATTGCAAAGGATATCACAGACCACCGAGCATTTGGATATGTGTGTGGAAAAGAGGGAAATCATAGATTTGTGGCAATAAAAACAGCCCAGGCAGTAAGTATCAGATCATTGTAATTTTCTATAGTTTAACTCTATTTGAAAGTTATGTCTATAATCTTGCTGTTCAAAAGGACATTGTGCAATATATTGTGCTAACAGAAGTGTCTGCATAGATGTTCTTACATGGCAGATTACCAGATTACTGGGAAGAAGGGAATGTACTATACCCTTCTCAATTTTTCTTGATGTATTCTTTCTAATTACTAATTATTTTCTTTTCTAATTAAACTCAATCCATAGACTGAATACAAATAAGTTTAGTTATGTTCATAGACTCATTTAAATCGAAAATGATAGAAACCAAATAGCTACTTTGCATAAAGTCTACCCTAATTTCATTGTATTAGAAACCACTAATAAATACAAGCAATTTCTTTTATACTCATAATCATAATTATCATTAATCTGCAAATATAATTAGTTTTATAGAAATGAACCTTCTCCTGGATGCAATTTGCTAAACTAATATAAACAAGGTAGAAATTAATTCAGTGTGACGTTCCTTCCCTTTAAAGATAGATATAACTGCTCTATCAACAGGACAGAAAAAAGGCCACTTTCCTTTATTAAAACCTACTTTTTTGCTTCAATAGGCTGAACCTGTAATTCTGGACTTGCGAGACCTGTTTCAGCTCATTTATGAATTGAAACAAAGGGAAGAAATGGAAAAAAAGGCACAAAAGGACAAGCAGTGTGAACAAGCAGTGTACCAGGTACCTAGAGGAGTTGAACTATGGCCAAGAAAAAGTGTGGGTCTGAGGGATGCATTTCTCCAAAACACCTCAGGGAGATGGTTAGCATTTTCAACACCTGTTATATTCAATGGGTGTTGAACAGTACTCAGCACCCTTCCGAATCATTCTCAATACGGACAAATATGAAGTTAGCAGCTATCTCTCAGAAGTAGGATTAAAACACTGATGAAAACCATATAACTGCGTAAGACGAAAACCTCAGCATGCTGAAATGATCCACTCATTTCCCTTGAAAAGTATTCCTTCAAATTCAGTATGCAAATTTTAGTGAAAATCAATGCGTGGTAGGTCAGTTTTAAGAGCGACTACTAATTTTAGTGCAGATTGAATTTGCTTCTAAATGCGTCTGTTTAAATGAAATCAAACGTGTTGCAGCTTTGATTAAAAGTTATCCTGTACAATAATGCCAACAGTATCTATAAACTAAAAAAGAAAAAATCAATTTTTCCCGTATAATGAACCGATTTTTTTTGCTGTCCTTTAACTACTGACTACAATTCTCATATCTGTGCTGTTTATGCTCTTTGCTTTTACTGCCTGTCCTCTTACTTTGTTGTAGACAATTTTGGAAGAAGATGTAGAAGATCCTGTATACCAGGTAATTTCTGAAGCTGTACAGATTCAGAGTTTCAGAAATGATTGCAAATATGTTCTTTTATTTTCAAACACAGCCAAACCTTGTAACAAGGTGTTGCAAAAGTTTATTGAGATATCAATTTAAAAGGAGCTATAAAAACGTCAACATAAAGCAAAATATTTACTAGGGAAAAGCTCTAAGTAATAATGCTAATATTACAACATAAGAAGGAAAGCTTAAGTGCTTGTTGAAAATGTAAGCTAAAACCTGAAATAGAGTTTTCCCACAGAGCGCTCTCATTATTTCTTAAAAGAAAACTAACAAAACAACTTACTTTGAAAACTAAAGAGGGAGTGGGAGCTTTGCTATTGACTTTTACGGGCCCAGAATTTCATCTGGACGCTCAATACTTGTGCCAGAAAAAAACTGTATCGAATTGACTACAATAACCTAGGCCATGAGCAGACATTAATTGGTACGGGTACAAATTCTGGGAGAGGGAGCAGTACAAATGCCCAGTCCGCAGCTGCCCCCTCTGCCCTGCTCTCCATGCCTTCTCAGGTGACCCCAGGCTAGGGCAGGCAAAGTGGGCAGTGCCTGGTCTATTCCCCCTGGTCTTCAGTGGGGGAAATGGAGCAGTGGAAATAACTTTTTGCACCAGCCCCAACCAGGGTCTTGGAAACTGGGGGCAGCAGGTTCCTCCACTCTGCTCCATATATCTGGGAGCAGGGCAGAGGGAGCACTGGCTTGGGGAAGGGGCTGGGAGCTGTGCCTTGCTGTTCCCTTCCCCTCCTGGACCCATCCAGGAGGGAAGGGGAGCAGAGTGGCAAAGCCCCTGCCCAGAGCAGCTGCTCCTGCACTCTGCTCCCGGTCTAAAGAAGTGGAGAAGAGGGTGCAGCAGTACAACCCCCCTGCCCGCTTCTCACTTTGGGGACACCGGGGTAAGAAGCAGGCCAGAGTCTCGCAGCATTGCTCCCTCTACTTGGCTTTTGGTATTGGGGAATCAAGGGGATGAAGCAGTGGGGCAAAGACCCCACTTGCTCCACACACCTGAGACTGGTGTAGGAGAACATGGAGCTGTGCCCTACTACCCAAGTGAGAGCCTCCCTGATCCCGGTTCCCTGCCCTCTCCCTTCCCTCCAGTCCAAAGCCAAGCAGAGGATTTAACAAAGCTCCTGCCAGCTTCTCACACCAGGACCTCTGCAATGAGAAGCAGGCAGGGCGTAGCTGGCAGGTCTACAGAGGAGTGGGAACAACTACCCCCATGCCTTCTCCAGAGCAGGGTGACCTCAGCCTCAGGCATGGGAGCCTTTCCCCTGGCTCCACTCCTTCCAGTCCCCAGGAGGAGCTAAGCCAGGGGAAAACGTACAGCTGCTCAGTCTCCTCGGAGAAACTCTTGGGAGCAATTTAACCGTAGTTGGTCCCAGGTTATTTTTCTCTTGCTGAAAAAAAAAGATTCTAATTGCATGACCTGATTCTACAATTGCAGCTAATTGCAGTTTCCAAGAATAACTCGAGATTTTGTAGATCTCCATTTCAGCACGTTGACTTGAAACTCTTTCCAACAGCTGGATGCACGGAGCATGTGTTCAAGTCTTTGTGAAGATCTGCCCTGCTTTAGGTGACTCACCTGAGGCATTCCAATTGCACCATCACAAGTCACTGTTCACTTTTGGAGAACTTGGCCAAGAATGGTGTTTTGAAAACACTTAAGCTAAAGAAGTTAAGTGAAGTGGCAGACTGCTACTGTGAAACTGGTTAGTTAAACACCAACTTGCTCTCCAAATTTGGGACTAGCTGTTTTACTTACAGCTAAAACACGTGTGGAAAACTAATGATTATGCAGCCAGAGGTCTCTCGCCCAGTGAAGTTTCTGGCAAAATTCTCACTGATCTGAGTAGGATCAAAATTGGGCCTCAGGCTGTATCCCTAGTGCAAATGCGACAGGAAGTTCATCTAATGATCATTAAAGGAGTATCAGGTCTGCTTTATTGCTCTTTCATTAAAAATAAAACAACATAACTCTGTGCTTTCCAGCAAGCCAGATATCCTTGTGCCAAACTATACTTTGAACTTGTTTCTGTGATGCCCTGCCTGCTTTTTTTTTTTTTTTAATCTGGAATTCCAATTGCCTTTTTTCCTTTCTGTTTCATCTTTCCTCCTTCCTCTTTGGCTGCTGATGTAATAGTACATTGTGTTTGAGGCTGGACATGAGCCAATCCGTGAGCCTGAAACAGAAGAAAACATTTACCAGGTATAAAATTGCTACCTATTTGTTTCCATCGCACCCCTTGCAAACATTTAGCCAAGCACATTTCATACGCTGAAATTCACTTTTATTAGTTTTCATTCATCACACAAATGTCTGAAATTTCATCCTCAGTCAAGCTAAATAAATAATTTCCCCAGTCTCAGCATGACTACTCTATTCATTCATTTCTCTTTTCAGCCTTCTCAAGATATATCAACTTTATCAATTATGTAGGGCCCTAAACATTGTGTATGCCATACCACCCATTAAACAGTTGCTTCCTGGTTTTTTTTTCCCTTTTTTTTGTGAAGCTTCTTTAATTGTTCTTTGAAGAAGTAGGATAGTAAATGCTGTGAAACTCCAGCTATATCCAAGTCAAGTGTTTAGGATGGTATTTAGGCCAGAAGACAAAGGGGAAAGAGAAGGAAAAGCAAGTAAGTGACTGGGAATTAGTGTCCTGTAAATCTTCTAATTTGATCATTAAGCGCATTAATCTCTGGTTTATTTAAACTCCTTGATCTTTGTTGATTTTCAAATGATAATTAAAACATGGTAACTAGGCAACTAGTCCAAGGCCTGCTAAGCCACTGAAGATACCCATATTTTCCTGCATACATAGGGTGCCCGTAGACATGTGGGGAGGCTGTTCCGATGCACTATAATCACAGCTCGAGTTAATGTTAATTAGCATGCCTCCAGCAGCCTCTGCGTCTTGTGTATTAGTGTCCATGCACTTCAAAATGGTGGTGGGGGTACTTTAACTAATGCTCCTTCAATGAGTGTTAGTTAAAACACCCCCACCAGCATTTTGAAGTGCAGGGATTCTGCGCTTTGAGACACTGTGGGAGCTTTAATTAGAGCAGGTCTTGGAGCTGCTTTAATTCAAGCGCTCCCCCTCCCAAGCCCTGGAACATGTGTAAAAATGCCCATAGTGTTTTCCGGTTGGAGATGAGCTGGCACATGCTGCTGAAAGCGTAGTTTCACTTTAGGAAAGCAACCACATAAAAAACAATTGCTTAATTGACATGATTGTGCCCACATTCATGAACAACTGGTGCCTCCTAAGACTGGAGGGGCACCATAGTGGAAAGCGGGGACCGCCCACAGCCAGTGGCGGGGGCAGTGGTGGGACCTGTGGGGTTGGCAAGCGGCAAGTGGAGACCACCCACAAATGCTGCCGGCCACAGTGGTGGCAAGGAGGGGGGCAGCAGGTGGTGAGCAGTGACTGCCTGCAGAACCCGGTGGCAGCTTTGGCAGCCGCCAATCTCAGGGGGACATGTGCTCCCCCATGCCCCCCCCCTATGCATCGCCTATGCTCACATGTTAACTCCACTGTCAAATAAATGTAGTCAAAAGGCTTTTTAACATGTGGTCATCAAAGCAGGAGAGCCTATAGGTCACTAAGAGAGGTTGAGGGTGGCTGATACGGCTCTGAGGTCAAGAAGAATGAGGAAGAAGAAGCCTCAGAGATACCAAGAGCAGTTTCCATTCCAGAACGGATAGAAACAAGACCATACTCAACATTTGGAGAAATTGGTCTAGAGAATGTGAGTGAAAAAGGATAGCAGTTACAAGAGGATAATGAAATGGAAAAAGAGGATGGTTAATAGGTGATAATCACTTGGCTTATCTAAAAGAGATGCCTCTACCTCTATGTAAGTCACCAGTGAGTTGCTCATGGCTTCATTCAACAGCATCAGGGCATAGTTAAGTGCTACCTTCCACAGGGCATGCGAGGAAGTACTGAGGTTTTTTTTTACTTCTGATAAATGTATTCAATAACCTCAATAGATGAAATGTTCCCTTATACTTCACTATTTATTGCAAGTGCTACCTTGAATACAGCAAATTCTGAGATTAGCTAACTATGAATCTTATTTAGTTATCTATTGCAGCTGACAATGATTGAAGTATCACTACAATAGTTTTGCCCATGGCCACTGGCACTCTAATATCATTGGTTTTATGATTTCCCTTGTTGCTATAAATCTTGATTTCCCACTTCTTAGATCTTACACTTGGATTACTGGAGAAAGCTGTTTCTCCTACATGGTCTTGGCTAACTCAGAATGCACCGGTCTACTATTATTACTAATATTAGCCATTTCCTTTCCTTTCCCAACTGTTTCTAGCTCCAAATATTTATTATTCCTGCACATTCTTATACAAACTCCTCAGTAACTTCCATTTCAAAACTCTGAAATGGCACACCCTTATTATCCCTGAATAGCTATATAAATACCACATAGACCACAGCAATGTGTTAACCTAGTGATGTCTTAACTTTGGGTCATTTTTATTCTATCTGCCCCCTCAGTAAGAAGTATCTTGTATCTTACACAGTCTATGATATTCATAGCCACACCTTTACTTTGGTTTTCTTTGGTAAGCTGATGTACCAAGACCATACCCCCAGGAGTAAGCAGGTTCCTGCCTAGCACTTGATTAAAGATGGAACATGAATATTAAACATGACTATTGCAGTTCTGTTGTTTAATATCACTGTGCATGAGCCTTCCCCTATTCTATTAATTTTCTTTCTCTGATATATTATTTCAAAGTTTCTGAGTCTGCTTGTTCTGTCTACTCTGTTTCACCTCTCATGGTATTTCTAATCTACTAGTTGTGTGGAATAAGACCAACAAGCATGTGCCAGTCCTCCCACTCTGTAGTGGACTTCTCATAACATGCTCTTATGACATCTGTTTTTGTGTTGGTGTGGTTTCTAATGGGCTATTTTTTTTTATTATGTATTTTTTAATTTTATTTAGCACCATTGATGTTTATTGTACTTTGGAGCCAAAGAAGAGGGCACAGTCCCTATTCTAAGGAGTTTAGATTCCTTATTAAGATATACACTGAAATATGGGGGTAGATGATAGGAGATGGCAAAGGGAAGACAACAGAAATAAAGTGAAAAGGGAAAAGTAATACTTGGAAAATATTCCCTGCAGGAGCTCAGATAGTGTTGTATTACGATACGAGACAAACGCGATAATGTTTGTCTTGAATTATATCAAAGATAGAACTGAATAATAGTACCAGGGTGGAGAAGAGTGATGGAAAATGTGCAAAGACTTGGAACAGGAAGAGAGGGAAAATGTAAAGAGGACACTGTTTCAGACATTAGGGACAATATTAATAAAGGTCCAGAAGCACGAGTTAAACCAGTTGCAATATTTCATGTGACAAGAATTTCTGATAAAACAGTGCCCCCTCACACGCACTTTTATTTTTTAGAAAAATGGAAAATTTCTTAAAGTTGTGAATGTCTGTACTTTTATATTTTTGTTAAGATTGCCATGATATTTTCATTAAAATTGTGTTCGTAGTATCAGAAAGCTGAGGTAGAGGCTAGCCCTGCGTTCTTCAGAGCCTTGAGCTAAGAGTACGTGGAATCTGAACTTCAATGTCAACCGTGACACAACCATCATTACTGTAAGCAATCAGGATCAGGAGGAGAACTTGAATAAGGGAGGCCAGAAAGGAAGAGTTGGTTCTATTTATGGCAAAGGATACCTGAGGTATAGATCCGGGTGTTGACAACGGAGATGAGGAAGAAAGGACAAATAGTAGAAATGTTCTAGAGCAGGGGTACAAGAGTAGGATAATGATGCAGTACATAGACACCATTGTTTCTTTTAAAATATATGAAGAGCAGGAGGCTGTGGAGCAGGTGTGCAATGCCATTTGTGATTCCTGGAAGAGTTTAAGTGGGTGGTGTTTAAGTGGATAATTTTCTCCCTCAAAAGCAGTGAAGATTGAATTCTCTCCCCCCGTCACCAGTCTTTTTTTTTAAATGAGCAGTGTATGATGAGAACACAGAGTTGAGTGCAGTACACCTCAGGCCTCGATAATTGATATATGCAGCCTTTACTTAATCAAATAACCTTGTTATGGAAGTCAGTAAAATAAGAAGTAATGATAGGCAGCATTGGTTTTCATTAAAGAGAAATACCTTAATAAAGATGGTCTTCTCTCTCTGGTACTATTTGTACTTCTTTCAAGGAAGAACAAAATTAAAAGCAACTTATTTAATAAGGATTCTTGGCTTCTGATCTTACACTGTGACTTACCAGTGTGCCTAGATGGAAGTGTTGTCAGTTCAATTGACAAAGAATTGCTCTACCGTTACCAGTTTTACACTTCGAATATGTTGGATTATTGTTGTGGGTTATGAGAAGAGGGCACTTTGAGAGAACTTTGAAAAATGCTTATCCTTGGTCATTCTTGAGATATGAATGGGGCAGGAGACCTTAAAAGGTCTCTAGGAAAATTTAGGAGCACAAATCTGAAAGCTGTGTCAGGTGATGACTGGGGTGACTGTAGTCTTCCTAATAGTTAGACAATGGATTTGTATAATGTAGTTTGGATAGGAATGATCCTGCCTCAGGCAAGGGGTTGGGCAAAATGACCTCTGGAGGTTTCTTCCAGCCCAGCTTCTTTCCTGCTCTCTCTGAGGTTTCATTCACTCTCAAAGGAACTTGTGCTCCTAAATCCCTGGGTATTTTTGGAATTTTTCCTCATGTGTATCCTTAGTTAAGTAAGATGAGTGGTGTACCTTGAAAAATGAAACTATTACATTAAAATGTTGGCATTCCAAAAATAAGAATGGTTGAAATTGCCATCCTCTTAGACTATTCAGAATTGGAGACTGTGCTACAGCTTATTAGACAGGCTGGACAAAAGGAAAAATGTCTTTACAGTCCAAGCCCCCAAGACCTGGAATAGCCTCCCTCCAGAAGTGGTGCAGGCACCTACTCTGGACTCATTCAAGAAACGCTTGGATGCTTATCTTGCTGGGATCCTTTGACCCTAGCTGACTTCCTGCCCCTGGGGCAAGGGGCTGGACTTGATGATCTTCAAGGTCCCTTCCAGCCCCAAAGTCTATGAAATCTATTAAATCTATGAGAGAGGAATCCTCCCATGAATTTATCAGAAAATTGTGAGCTTAATCCACTATAATTTCAGTATCTTAGGGTCTCCCATATCTCCTGTATGCAAGATTTCTCATTCATTTGTGAGAATTAATTTATCTAGTAGATTAATTAAATTGATTAATTTATAAACTCTAACCCCCTTACATTGTTCAATAAACCCAGTTTATTGAAATTGTAGTACTAGTACTGGTATATTTATAGCAAGCACTGTTTCACTGTTAAGCATTAGGTTATATTTTTCCTGGAGCAGCCATTTTTACCCTGGGAGAAAAAGCCTGAACATCTGTACACTCATGGCTCCTCCTGGGAGAACAGTGACTCTCCAAGGGGAAACTGAATGTTTGTATGAGACCTGAGAGGACAACAGCTCCTTAATTATAGCTGTTAAGTACTAGGTCAAACAGTATATAAAAGCAGAAGACCAGCCTTCCCCTTATTATGAGCGATTACTTTTTTGACTAACCTTATTTAATGATGTGAAAGAAGGAGACAGTGCTGGTGCAGGTCAAATTTTCTTCTCCCACAATGATAGCTATATTTCTGAAGTCAGCAATAAAGGAAAAGGGCCCCGCTGCCCAAGTATAGCCCCTGCATTGCACCTGCCACCCCTTCAGAAAAAAAGAAAAACAAAACCATCTGTTGTATAGGAGTGGGATCCAGATGTCCATTGACTTCATGAGAGTTTATACCAGACCACGTTATCTCTATCATGGGCAAAATGAAAACCTACAGTTTTCACAGAACAACAGTGAAATTAGGGCTGTGAAAATTGAGATTCAGTGTTTTTCTCCTTGGGGTCATCTCCATTTAATATTATCTTCTGAATGAAAAGGGATCTTCCTTGAGTTCATTCATGGAAGTGATGAAGTCATGTTCTGAAGTTGAACTATGGCTATAAATTTGAAGTTTTCCAAACTCCTACTTGAATGATGACTGTTTTTGATTTACCATTACAGGTTCCTACCAGCCAAAAAAAGGAAGGTGTTTATGATGTGCCAAAAAGTCAACCTGTAAGTGTAAGTGTTTTTCCTGTTTATATGCAGCTGAGATGGTATGTTGCACATCTGCTTTGGTGTACACAATTTTTGTATCATATGGGATATTCCTTATAATATCACAGTGTTCACTGACCAGTTCAAATCCACCAGGATGCTTTGTTGAGCCTTTTGTTATGGGATCCTTAATATGTACTAATTTGCTGAAGTCCACCTCATTCAAACATCTAAATTCCCTCTACCATTTTCATCCGTGTTCACACTTTTCCTCCTAACCAAAACTCACGACTTGTAATACTTGTGTAGCTCCTGTGCGTTGGTCCATGCTCAATGGGTGGAGACTGCATTTCCTTCTTCCATATTTATAATTCAAACTGTACGGTGTATGAAAGTTTTCACGAAATGAAGGACAGCAGTGGATGCAGATACTGGCAAGAGTGGAATTTAAGCACAAGTGAGCATTAGGAAGAGCCATGATGAGCATCCACAGAACTCTTTCCCTCTGTCTCCCGTGGTGACACTGCAGATGCGACATCTGCAGCCCTTTCAGAATCATCCTTAGCAAATACAATATGCTGATGTGCAAAGAATACACAAGCAGCTTCAAATTAGACAGAGATAAAACATCAGGAATTTGCATAAAAATTACAGTTCTTTAAATTGAAAAGCCATAGAAAATTCCACTTAAAATTTAGCCCAGAAAAGCAATTATTTTTCCAATAAAACTAACCTCTACAGCAACTTAACATTATAACCACTATATAATTGTAGTGTAGAGATATGTGTAATTGTCACTGGTTTGGACAACTGTATGCAACTCCAAAAAAGGAATTAGTCAAGGCCCTTGCTCAACAAATACCCCAAACGAGAGAATCATTGCTGTATATATAGCACATTTCTTTCATGGTTTTTACTAGCGAAATCCTTTACTTCTATTTGCACAATGCAGTAAGTGCATTGACTCATTGCTCCTTAGTCTTATGGTTAGTCGAGCAGTTGCACCCATGGTTATAAAATGCTACCAAATCAAAATGATATCTTTCAACATTATCTTTCCCT